AAAAGTATATCCATAATGGCCGATTATCTTAACCGAAAAGACGCTTGACTTTTTATTCTTATAATTCCCGTCTAATATGCCATAAAACTATTAAATATTCTCACAGTCTATTCAAGAAAACAATTCTATTGCGTATAATCGTATTTATTTGGTTCGATTATCTTTCTGGCGACTTACCTGTGCGGATATTACCGAAGCTCGCAATTTCTCCGTCTGTACCAAGCGCCGTTTCCGCGGGAAAAGAGGAAGAAGCCGGACGTAACGTCTTGAAATTAGCGCCGGTATTCCTTGTCCTGATTGGTCAAGCTTTAAAGTAGTAATTCGCGAATATACCGAGCTGTCTCATTAGTGGATATATCGAAATTTTTAAAATCAGCCAATCAAGTCGAAGAAGTCGCACGAAATCTACCGAAAATCGCCGAGCAGTTCTCGAACATTTGGCGCGGGAATTAAAATCGTTTAAAGTCTTTATGCAAATGGCGTGATACGAAATATCCACAATTAATATTTTTCTTCATAGTAATGTGAAAATGAACATTTATTACGCATTCAAATTTTTAATACAATTTTCAGCTATTTCCTGTTGTCTTTAGTATGTATCATGATATGAAGAATGGAAAAACATCTCCCTTGTCACGGTTGTCGCAAATATTTTTAACAAGAAACAGCTCGAAAGTCATGATTCGCGAGGACCGTGCTCACCGAACCGTATACGAGAATCTGGATGTTTTGTTCGCAATAGCAAAGTTGAAGGATGTTTAATAAATAGGCTAAGCTAGTTTCTAACCTATTTATTTCGATATTCATACACATATGTAAATGAAAGCGAATCTTTCTATCCATGCTTCACTTTCATTTTAATAATCAGATCTAACAAAAGAATGCATTCTTATCGCATTTTTTCATCTTTTTTTATTTTTTATTTCTTAATTAAACATATTTGAATACTGTTGATATTGTTTTGTATTATTTGTAGTTGCAGAGCGTGGAATATCTCATTATGATAATAACATGATAACATAAATTATTGTTCAATTTAATTTTATCACATACATACTTCTCGACTAGAGTTCCGTATTCAACACTTTTTTCCGGAAAAAAAATAGAGAGGAAATGCAGATACAGTAAAAGATTGGATGCTTACAATTATGGTAACATCTTATTTTTGATAACGATTAAGTTATTCACTGCATGATATATACAACAAGCAGTTTGACAAACTATTTTAACTTTTATAGATTTATAGCTAAAGATTTAAAGAAAAATATAAAATTATTGATACTTGATAATTTATTAATTATAATACTTGATAATTGTATTTGATAAATTATTATAATATTTCAAAATAGATTTATATACGATACTTTATGTTGTCATTTAGGAATGTTTATGCGATTCAAGAAGAATTTTAGCAAGGATCAAATATAAATATCATTGATATATCTGTGAAAACTATACAATAATATAGAGTAGGTATAATAGTACAACAGATTTTATTTTAAAGAAATTCTATGTGTTCTATATTTATATAAATAAGATTTATAAACAGAAATGTATTTAAAAACTATATTATTTATTGATGAAGATATGATTCATAATATATATGCAATCAAAGATTTCGCAAATTTTAAATTTGTTTGTTACATCTTAAAAGATGAAGATTATTAAAAGAAAATTTTAATAAATTTGGCATTAAAGTAAAACTAGTGCTAAATAAAAAATTAATTATGTGAGTTATTATACAATATTAATCTCTGTGTGCATTATGAAAACTGTAAAAATAGTCGTTTATTGAAAGTTCATAGAATACAAAATCTATCAAGAAAAAAATATTTTTGAAGTAATATAAAAATATATGTTGAATAAAAGAATATAAATATGTATCTCAAATATTATAAATTTGAGATACTTTTCATTTGTTCATAAAATTGAGAATTTATTGCAAGAGATTTCTCTGTAGAAATACAAAATACTTTATACAGTTATTTTATTTTATTAGAAAAATAACAAATGATAAATTAAATAATTTTTATTAATATTAATTATATATTTATTGGTTTTAAAAATAATAATTTTTTATTTTGAGCTATCTTTGTGAATATTATAATATAATTATACCAATTTTTATTTTGATATAGAAATATCTTTATGTTTTCTTACGCTAACCAAAGATTCTTAACATAAATGCAGGTATCAATTTGAAAACTTGCAGAGTATATATCTTTAATAGTCTGAAGTAATTTACAAGGCACACAAAAGGCATACAAAAAAAGTCTTTGCTTTATAAAAGAGATGCTTATATCTTTAATCTAATTTTAATAATGGGTGTGTACATTTACTTAATTTCTATTAAAATATATTGCTAAATAGACCATACATATATCCTAACAAACATTTATAAATTAGTTAGCCAAGTGTAGGTTCAACAAGATTTGTAGACTAGTCAATATTTTTTAAATATATAAAATTATAAATTTAGTATATGTCAAAAGGGTTTAAAAATTTCTCTCAAAAAGAGTTCTTAAACTACATAGCTTTGTAAAGTTAAATATTATTTATGTACAAATAAAAAACATATTTACTAGAAATAAAAAAATGTGCAAATATCTTTTAGCGATTTAAAATTATACGACAGTGCACTTTTTTTTATGTTTAAGATTGATCATATCACGTGTCGACAAAGTTACGTTCTGTCACAAATGTTTTTTATTTTCTTTTAAATTATCAGGACAAGAGACAGATTTCCTAACATTATTAAGATTAACTGCTGACGCATTTGCACAGATTTCTAGTTTTTGTGATTTCATCTGTTTCTTTTTTAATAATGATCCGCCTGTAAAACCTAAAGAGAAATATGTTCACTATTTTTATCTGTTTTTTGTCTTATGTAATTTCAAAAAATTAAAATTTAATATCCCATTAATGTTTTATAAATCTACATAATACTAACCTAAAATTCCACAACTTACAGCAGCAAAACCACCAATTTTCATTCCCGCTAATAAACCTATTGGTCCTCCGATACATGTGCCTATCATAGCACCTGCTATAGGGTACGCAGCGACTTTATATTTAGAGGCTACCTCTAGATATCTTGTACCTTCATCCACATTTATTTGAGCTTCTTCAATATTTTCTTCCATATTGTCTACCATTTCTTTTTGATGCTGTTTGTAAAAAAATTCGCATATATTTTATGGTAATAAAACATGTATATATAAGATGTTTTTTTTCTGTCTTTAAAAGTTAAAATAAGGAAAAATTTGAGAGCTATTTTCTTAAATTATGTTTTTAAGTTATATTCTGTAATCCAAATTGAAATTATATTCTTACATGTACAATTTTATTAAATTCAGCAAAGAGCTCATGTAATTGTTGTATTTCCTCTTGTAAACAATTCCAAGCATGTAGACATGTTTGCTGATGTTGTAAATCTTCTCGTTCTATTTGCAATTGTATATCATTATCATTGAATGGAGATTCTATCTCTTGATTTTCATTCTTTGATGATGTGGGTGGCAATTTTGATACATCTAATTCCATATCTGCAATTGATATTTATATTTATATTAATTCTTCGATTTTTATACTAATCAAAATTAAGAGAGAATATTATACATTGTATTATGTTTCTTACCTAAATATTCCTGAATTGCGCACATAATACTAGTCCGTGCATGTGTTGTCAGTTTATCAAATTTATCAATGTCAACATCAAGAACTTGTGCTCTGAGAGTTTCCATTTGATACAATAACTCTTTCAATTGCTTAATAATACGGGAGACATTTACATGTTCTTTCCGTATCCGTTCCCAATCATGTTGGTTTTGATACTGCAGAGATATAACTTGCTTATATACACATATACATGAAAAATGTTTTAAATGCAAAAAAATAAATAAAAATTTTATATATATGCTTACTTTTTTAATATTGTTCTTGTGCCGTTTTAATAAATCTACATGGTGTGGAATAGCAACGTTGAAGTTATTAATTTGAATCTCCAAACGTCTTATGGGCTGCTTGATTGTAATATTCTCTGATAAGGCTGACATGATTGTTGCTCGTTTATAATCCTACGTAATTTATATTTTTATGATAAGGAGTTTTCTCTTATTGTTAGTCTCAAAATTCACTCTTTATGTATGTATTTAAGTGTCACATAATCCTCCTTATTCTTATTACAAAAGTTTTTCACGATAAATGAAACTAACTAATAATGAAATATGATAGTTCGTAATGGCGTTTTATTACTTCACTAAATTTACACATATTCTGTTTCTGTCCCGCAGATCAGCTGTTATCGAATATAAATACGTGCTATAAACACGTCTGCAAAAAGAAATGTAATGCTATTGCCATCTATAGTAGGGTGATAGTAGCAAAGAGAAATCTTTTTAAAATATTCCAATAAAATAATATTAATATCTATAATATGCTAAAATAGAAATAGATGATACGTGCACAGCTTTTTAATAAAATGTATGATTAAATCCGTATTAATCCATACTTAGAAAGTATTTCTGATCCACAATTTACAGATATAATATGACACACTTAAACAGTGACTTTACCGGCAGTAAAGAGAAATAAACTACGTAATTCTCAGTTTTAAAACAGATGTAGATAGCTGTATTAAATGAGACTAATTGCTAAGCATCTCACGAAAAACACTACTTTCAGGCTTTTTTCATATTACAAGCTTTAATATATTATTTTAAGATAATTGATAATGTGTATATATCTATATATGTATATATATCAAGCTCAGCACGTCTTTTTAAACTTTTCTCTTATTTTTTTTATTATATAATTTTTTATCTAACAAAACAACAAATTGAACAAACTTTTTGATTAGTCTAATATTTTAATTAATTCTTCATATTTTTGTTGTATAGATTACATAATATTATATTGCCAAAAAATATCATTTATTTATTAAATATATATTTTAGCTTTGTGTTAATACTACATTAATATTATTAACATTATATTAATATCGTTATTTATATATAGAATATAAATAAAAGATACTGCATTGCAAAAGATGTCGAAGTAATGAAGTAAATGCGCTCCGCATATTTTATGTTCATTACTCGTTAAATTATATCATTTGTGTAAATAAATGCCAAATAAAATATTAAATAGCATGACACAATTCCAAAGATACGCTGTAATAATAAGAAATCTCTTTCTTTAAAATCAGCGAGTTGCGCGGGTGTGTTGCAAAATATTGCGCATGCGCGGTCGTCGCGTGCGCGGCCGTTGCCGCTATTTATTATATTTCGCGTGCGTATTGTGCAAACAATTTCCGCGGTTTTTGCATTAAAAAAGAAATTTCGCGTAATGTGTATAAATCTCGGGAGTGCCGAATAAAGTGTCGTGCGATTGTCTTACTAGTGTATTAATCAATGTATGCGATGAGTGTTACAGATATTAATAAGTAAATCGTCGTTTATGCGTATTATAATTCGCAGTGTCGTTCGTAACCCTGTTTGATGTTTCATAACCGCCAAAATCATTGTCGCATGCATTACATAATTCTTTATGGATCGGATAAATTAAGGTATAATAATTGATATTTGATTTTTAATATTGCTTGACCGTGCAGGTTAATGAAAGTTGCGTAATTAATTCTTAATTTAAATCCAAAATATATTAGTCTGTGAGATGAGTTTCTTACGCAACAAACATTTTACTGATATACATATAATTTATATTTAATGTTTTTAAATTGTAATAGTACAGTTTTAAGCTGAAAAAGAATCGCTAAGAAAAAAATTCTTGCCACGATATTTAGATTACAATGCATTCCTTTATTTTATCATGTTCAAGTTTGTGTCATGATTCTAAGTTGAGATTATTTTTAATGTGCAGATTTTCTATTTAGATATTTAAAACACCTTGAAATGTCTTAAAATACAATTTTTCTAAAATTTTAGGTATCACTATACATAATTTATCCGCGATATAAAATCAGGAAAAAAGAGCCGCGAAAAATATATAAATTTCGCAAAAGCAATCCATATGTCGCAATTTATCACGGTATTACTTCTAGTACTTAATTTATTTTTGCAAAATGAAGATTTGACGTAAACAGCACTCGAGAATATTCTTTTATTTCGTATTTGACGGAAGTTATAGGCAGTAATTGGAGAATTTATGTATGTATTAAGAGATGATCAATTATGCGTCATCCCGCAATTCGAATGATCGTGCGTTCGTGAGATCTCGATGAGTTTTACAAGGGTCGCCGCGAATGTACAATTTGGTATAAAGCCGGTGAGGCTTTTGGTAATGAAAAACCGATTGCGACCAAATAGGCTCCGGGCTGCTGGTGACGTGTAATCGAGTCTTCTCTTCTGTCGCTTCGCCACCCACTCCCAGCCCCTTTGTCTCCCTCCCCCCCCCCTTTCATCCATCTCATCCTTCCTCTATCCCTTGATTTCCCCGTTCCCTGTGCTTCTTCCTCTTCCTGTGATTCCTCCGGCTTCCATTAGTCGCTATACGTCGTCTGTACACAGAGATCCGTTTTGTCCTGCTTTTGCGTGACCTTTTATTTCAAACAACCGCATTCAAATTACCGCTATCTGGATACTCAATCTTTTGACGTTTTGCCACTGGACATTTAGAAACGCTTTTAATATTGTCCATTTCACCTGTCATTCCCTGTTACTTCTAAGAAATGACTGAAAAATAATTTATCTTGTTTAAATTAATCTTGAATTTAATTATCACTTGTCTCTTTTACGCAATGTTATTCTGTATATTGAGAAATATTATACAAGTCTACCTTAAGAATTTTTAAGTTTTTAATTTTTAAGATTAATTATACACACACGCACACGGGCGTAATATATACATCGCTGAATTATTTAAGATTCTTTAATTATTTCTATTAATAGTATTTAAAAAAGTATTGATTTATTATGTTGTTTTGCTCATCAATCACATTGAGTATAAAAGACTGTATTAAAATTCAATCAGATATTAATTTTGCATAAAGAAGAAATTAAATCGTGAGAAATTAAATTGCCGGATATGTATTTATTCAATTTACTATTCACACTGATTGTGAGTTGATTTGCGTATTTGGAATATGCAGTTAATTATATCTGACATCCATGCTAAAGCAATGATCGCGCTTTGTGTCCTCTCGTTCGTTAATTAGGAAATCCAAATTCGGAGTCTCTGAGGCGGAAGTTAGATATAAATTCGGAAGTAGCATTATCTCGTAACAAAGTCACGTGCCTAGCATTTGAATGTCAGTTACGAATGGTTAGAAACTGTTTCCGTTTATATATTATTTGTTTTTCTGATATCATATATCTATAACATTATAAAATATTCGTAAAATAAAGCTATCATATTTTCATTATTAGCAAAATACATAATAATGTTTACAACAACTTAAAAATAAATACAATTCGAAACTTTTCATAATTAAAATATATTTCAATAACATAAATATGATATAATAACATAAATTTTAATTAATGTGATGTGTTATTCTATTTTTATGGATTTTGAAATGTAGTGTAGTATATGTATTTTAAGAAATCTATTGCCAAAAATTGGTAAAAGCATTTATACAAAACGTACTACATCTGTTCAATGCAAGCTTATACTCTTCACTACCTTGGAATCCTTTCTTAGTTAGGAATCTGCACCGATCTGATTGCAGATCAACACATTGCATTCTAATGAATAGTGCTTTCTTTTTCATGTGTACACAAAGGCGTTGGCACTCTTTTATATTTTTTGCGATTTTAATCTTCCTTATTCTCTTTATTACTAATTATTTTACTGACAAATTGACGATACTGTTTTCAAATTATAAAAAAATCATAATTTTGATTTATAATGATTTTTTATATCCTTTATTCACTTGCGATCGTAGGTATATATTACAGATATGTTAAATACATAGAGGTAAGTGAATACATGGTGGTAAATAGAATGTGCATCAAATGTGTACATAATTATACGCATTATATGACTAACACACGGCATCTTATAATATGATTTATACGGAAAGAGAGATTATTATTTAGTAATATTAATCATTGTATAATAATAACAGTAATAGATATTGAAAAGCGTATACTTTGCAATTATTTCGTACTACCAGCAACAGTTTCACGAATAATTTAGTACAGCTACATGGAGGAGACGGGCGGGTTGAGGCGCTAATGATGCGACATCCGAATAGAGAGTAATAGCTTGTCCGAATTAATTCTCTCCGCTGTGCTTTTAGTAAAGTGAATTTTATTGCCGTCTTGCTGTCGAAATCGCCAAATTTTAGTTGTGTAACAGTGCCGTAGTTAAACATTGACCGTTCAACTAATCTTTGCAGCATATGTTCTGCACGGTAACGTTCCACCGGACACATTCGCACATTTATTCAAATATTTCTCAATATACGTGCTCATATAATTTTGTATCGTGTAATAATATGTCGATATTGCCGAATCAAATTCACATCCTGTTACATACGCACATCCTGTCACACGCATACACGTGTTACGAATTAATTAAATAAAAATTTTTTATACGATAAAACACTCCGCAAAATACAACCCTAGAACAAGTTCGATAATTTATCACGAATTATCAATGTTGAGAATGATATTCGATTTTTCGGCGTAAAAACTTGTAGCATTTTTCGCAACGATTTTACCATTTTGGTTCAAATGACAATGTTGTGAAATTTAACATAACAACACGACGTATATTGCCGTTTGTGACATTTGCACAAATTTTTCCATCTAAAATGAGTTTCGCCATTCATATCTGGAATTTGTCGAATAAAGCGTAGATGGTTTCACAGTTTATGAAATTTTTGATTGCAATGTTATCATATCGATTATTGGATTGCGAGCATCATCTGTGTTACACAGTATCTAGTATTTTTCAATACTCGGACTAATTTTATTATTTATTAATATCCGGACTAATTTTTTTATTGTTGCTTCGTTTATTATACTATCTGACTGTAAATGACGTTGTGGCAGAAACATCTTTCTTTTTTCGCAATCACCGACAGGTACGAATATTAACGAATGTTGTTGATGGCAGATTTCTCCTTGAAATAAAGCCTTCTGCATGACTTTTATGGATAAGGCGGTTTCAACCAATGTCGTTTGCGACGTAGAACTGATAAACGTCTATTGAATATAGGGATTGTGTTGGCAAAATGCATGCGAGTGTTATTGAAATATTGCTGCAAGAAGAAATATCGCGTGCGCATTCTTTCTAATATCTGTAAATCTTTCTAGTATTAAGCGTAATGGGACTACCGTGGTTTACAAACTGGCTTTTACTATGACTGATCGTAATTCACTATTT